AGGAAATCTCCCGAGCTCGGCAAAAATTTGGGAGATGTGGGTTCAGCCCCTTCCTTTGTCGCCATCCCAGAGCAATCAACTCCCGAGGTCTCAGCAGCACTTGTGTCACAAGCCCAAATTCCAGAGGAGCTCTTCTCTCCCCAGGCACCAGGGTAAGGACTGAGTAAGAGTTTCAGAAGTGTTCCACATCCTCCTGCTGCTTCCTTTCCAAATTTACAGCCCGTGGCTCAATTGCTGCTGAGGCACAGCTGGCTGAGCTCTGCCGGAAACACGGCCGGTCATTTTGGGAACATCTTTGGGAAATCTCGCACTTCACAAGTGCTGAGCCCAGGAAAATTTGCCCCTCTGCATTTATTACTACATCCCCAGTGCTTCTAGAGCACAGCTTTCCTTGTGCTGATGTTATCCTTGCAATACCAAGCGTGAAATGCTAAGAAAGGCTCTGAAGGGTAAAAACTGCCCCATCCCTGGAAGTGCCCAAGGCCAGGTTGGACAGGGCTTGGAGCAACCTGGGCTAGTGGAAGGTGTCCCTGCCCATAGCAGGGGTTGGAACTGGGTGATCTTAAAGGTTCCTTCCAAGTCAAACCATTCTATGATTCTGATTTCTAAAATGTCCCTTCTCCTCCCCCCTCTGAGCCCCTTCCAACGTGTCCCTCCCAGGCTCCTCTCGGAGCAGCAGCACCAGCAGCTTCTCCTGTGCTCACTCTCCCCACACAAACCCAGAGCTTCTGACACAGCTTCATTAGGCTGATTCACCCTTCAGTTTACAGCTCAACAAGGATTTAAGGCCCATAATCACAGAGAAGTGGAGGAAGAGGAGCAGAGGAGGAGCCAGAGCATAGAACATGTAGGAAACTAAATTACAGTGCCTGCCCTGCTGTGTTTCAAAACAGTCACTGGAGAAAAACCCACACTGCTTTGGCCCTAAAATGATGACAGCAGGCTAATGGAGAGCTCCTGCTCCCCATTCTCCTCACTCCTCACCTCCCATATTCTTGTCTTTGCAATGCCCCACCTGTGGAATCACCTTCCTTTCCCGTTCCCCCACCTATGATGAGCTCACACCTCTGCCATGAAGTCCTTGCTCAGCATTCCTTCCAAAAACCTCAGGCTGACGAGCAAAGGAAATACAACCACTGCTCTTAAGAGAAAATAGTGAAATGTTCAGCCAGTCATTGAGTGATTTCTCCCCAGAGGTCACAGCACCCCATGAGCTCAGGACAAGCCCCTGGGCACCCCCGTGATGAGTTACAGAACTGGCACCTGGCACCAAACACACCCTGAAGATGAAGACTGTTCTGCTTTTTTCCTTTTTACATCTTGTCCAAAGCAACAGAGAAATGGTGTTTAATAAATAAATAATAAACAACAACAGCATGTTAACATTTCCTTTCCAGTTAAGCTCGGAAGGAGGAGGTCAGCAGCCCACCAAGCCCGCATGCACTGCACTCCTTTCTCAACCTATTTGTCCTTTCTCCCCAGTGGCAAGAAGGCAGGAAGCAGAATTCCAGATGAACATGATTTTGTGTGACTGGTTTAGCACCAGCGAATACAAGTGCCAACCACCCTGGTTCACACTCCCCTGGAAAACACAGTGGAGCTGTCCCTGCTCATCCACGGGCTGTGGGCAGACACTGGGAAGTGTAAAACTGACCTCCCGGGGTGTGTGTCCATCACCTCTCAAACGGCCTCAGCTCACACAGACAAGCTGTTCACCTGCTTGCCTGTTGTTTGTTTTGTCCCTGCCAGCCCGGGGAAGGGGAGAGGAATGACCTTCCAGGAGACAGAAACATTCCTGTAGCAATGTTCCCTCTCCCCACTCCCCTTCCCAGTGAGCCAAACACAGCTATTCTGTGTGTGAGATGGAGGAAACACAGCTCGGGGTCTGAAATTGCTTTTTATGGCCCCCAGATCTTCAGCAAATGTACAAATAAATATGAAACAGAGAGGGAATGAGATGCACATGCACAAAGCAAATACCAGAATGAGATGGCAGCAGTCTGGGAACTGGCTGGGAGAGCCAAGATCATGAGCATCCAGTTATTTTAGCAGCCCTTGCCAATAGACTAAATAGAATAGCATAGGCCAGGTGTCAGTGATTATAATCCCACTGATGCCAAGAGTCTCTCCCATTTCCAGCCAGCCTGGCTTTGCCTCTATCTCTGCAGCACAAGAAATAATTCCTAAAGCAGGGACTGGAAAAAGCAGCCACACAAAGTGTACCTGCACCTCCCCTTTTCCAGGGCACCTCTGTCTACCTTTGTTTTAAACTCAAAATCTCACTAAACTTAAAAGAAAACCATCGCTGCTGCTGTGAAGAACAGAACCTGTGGAAATAGCTCAGCACGTTGTTCCAATGCCAGTTCTGTCCTGGAAAACAGGTGGTTTATGGATGAACTGAGCTGGATACCCCCAAACCTCAAATGATCCCTGTGGAGGGAGCAGGTCTGCTCCCCAGACCTCAAAACATCCATTAGCACCCCACTCCCAACAGCAGCATCTGCTCAGGCTTCCCTGCCCTTTCCCAGCTCCAGTGGAACCATTATCCCTTTCCTGAGGACACACAGTTGTTGGACACCTCAGCTGCTTTCAGGCTGGGGGAGGTGGATACGTGGAAGGAGACAATCATCTGAACATGATTCCTGAAGAAAGGAAACTCCACGGAGTCCTAAGCAACGGATTCCAGAGCCTGCCTGCCTTCACTCTGGTAGCCAGGCTCTCCTCTCCCATCCAAGTGGTTCTTTTTTGGGAGAAACCTCAGGAATGAGCAGTTTGGCCCCATGGGAGGATGGGCCTGAGCTGCACCTCACTTGCACAAAATGGCAGTTCCCCACAGGTATGTACATTTGGGCAAATTAGGAAATAAAGAGATGCTCCATTTTCTGTTTTTTCCCCAAACACAAACCCTATCCACTGCTGAAGAATCTACAAGGAATTTTTTTCCCCATTTTTAAGTGCTGTACAGTGCCTGTCTCTCCTTTTACAAGTGGAACCTTGTAGCTATGGAGACGAAGAATGTCAAATCCAAGCTGAAGACAGGATTTCACTGAGGGCTTTGGGTTGCTACACGTGCCTTCAATGATCTGGTTTCCATCTCCTGAAGTCTTTATTATTGTCTATTATTTATGAGTCTCTCTTAGTGTGCTAAGAGCCACTGGACAGTCTGATTTACACCAGAAGCAACACCATAAACACCCTGAGTCCTGCAAAGTTCTGCATCACCTTAATTTAACCTGAATAAAACTGTTGTGGTGCTGCCAGAGCACCTGGAAACGGGGTGAACTGGGGTGCCCTTGTGTTTAATGCTGTGTGTAACAACCCACAACACCACGGAGGAATTACACCACCCTGATCTTCTGTCCTACACCTGGTGGGGCTCTTCGACCTTGGAATTATCTGACATAATCCAGATTACCCAAATTTCAGTCTCCCAAATGACATGACATCACCCCTACATCTTCTGAGGTCCAAATAACATTAGAGGTGATGGTTTCATTAGCTGGATGTTCAACTATAACATGGAAATTCGTTCTCTCACCATCGTGGTGCAAATTAAACAACAAGCTGATGAAACTTCAGTGGTGATAAACTTGAGCATGAAGGGGAAACAGTCTTTCAGGTCAAATTAGAGCTCCTTGTGACAGCCAGGGAAAATTCAAAATAACTTCACCATCACTTTCTACTTGTGCTGGTAACAGGGAATAAAACCCCCACACCTTCATTCCCATGGCACTGGAGCAATGACAGGGATATGGCAGGTGGTTTCCTATTTTGAAGACAACTCTGCTCCAAAGAAAGCAACCCCAAAACAGGCATTTTTCTTCCTTCTCCTTGACCTCATGGTCTAAAATCATCTGGGGTTTTCAGGTGCCAAATATGAAACATCTCAAAGACGCCCCTTTGTCAGGAAGTGAAAACATCGTTTTTAACAAATCCGGATCCCAGAACTGCAGCCTGTTCCACACTGCTCATCTTTAACATGCTCTCATGCCAAAGTCAGGGCTCGGAATTTCCACAGTCAATCCCAATCTGCACAAAAGAACTGGGATAAACCCCAACACTCTCAGGTAGGACATCCACAACCAGGGGAGAAAAATCCCCCACGGTGCCCTAAAGCCACGTCACGGGCAGGATTAAGTAACAAGTGCTGCAATGGAATTGTGCAAATCCTCCTTTACCAGCTATAAATAAGCATCAGCATTCAAAGCAAACCCATCCCTTGCATACACGGTGGTGGAGTCATTGACAGGAAGGCAAGGAAACAATTTGGTGCTTCCTTTCAAAGCTGAGCAACAGAAAAGATGCTCTGGGAGCTTTTCCTGTTTGTGTTTCCAATGTTGCTGAGTCAAATCCTAACACGGCCTTAAGCATGTGAAAATCAGCTCTGTCTAACTTCCAGTGATCACTGAAATGAAATTAAAAACCTCAAGAATACCCATCTCCCAACCCAGGCGTTTGCAAATGTGCTGTTGGACCAAGGCTCGGGTTCAAAGGAGCCTCTGTTGTTCCTGCTGCTCCAGGAAAACAAGTGCCTAAACTCCAAGACTGTGCTGCAGTCCTGTTGCTCTCTGGTTTGCTCCTGAACCAGACCAAACATGCAGAAAATCTTTGCCATTATCCTTAAATAGGCCATAAACCCCTCAAGATTTCATGTGGGGGCTGAGTAAAGAGGTTTCCATATTTATTTTTAAAGCAGAAGAGGTTCTTTCACGCCTCTGTATCTACCAATACATTAAAAATAGGATTCTCTTGTAGCCACAGCTCATAAAATGGGTGCAAACAGGAGGAGAATAACACTCCAGATGTCTTTACTACAGTTGTTGACTTCAGCTTAATCCATATTTTAATAAGTCTTAGTTATTCAAAACAATCACCATCCCTTCCTTGACTGTTGATATTGGACGAGAGAACCTTCCACAGAGCCACCACCACCCCCCCCCCAAAAAAAAATAAACCAAAATCTCATTAATCTTTCTAGCATTTAGAGATACCTCAAGAGTGTCAAACATTTACCTCTCCTTCCCAGCAGCTGAAATGGTTTTAGGAGGATCATGGTTCATACCTCGCATTCCCTGGAGCCAGAGATGGTATAAGTGCAGGGCCCAGATCCATTAACCGATACATCCATGGTCTCAGAGTTTGTTGGCTTGTAGTCCACGTAATACTCCTGCAAAGGGGAGTTCATTTGCCTCTCAGACTCCCTGGCCTTTTTCCTGCGCCTCTTCATGAGCGTGTGCTGCTGGAGCTGCTTCATGCTGGCGGGGTAACGCTTCCAGGACACGTAGATCACCAGCAGGATCATGGCCACGGAGAGGAAGAGGGCCACGCTCCCCGCGATGATCTTGTGGAAGGACACGTGCTCGTACTCCGGCTCCACGCCCGGGGTCGGGATGTCGGCGGAAGGGCTCGGCGTCGCGGAGCTCGGCTGATGGCTTTCCAGTTTGGAGACGGTGGGTTTGGGGATGAACACGGGTCTCGGGGGGGTTTTGGGCACCTGGTAGGACCTCTCAGTGGCCACCACCTGGACCTCGGCGCAGATGTCGTAGGTCTCCACGGCGTCGCTCACCTTCTCGCCCTGGATGTGCTTGGGGCCTGCACAGATCATGGTGCTCTCCTTATTCCCCTTGAAATTCTTAAGCCAATTAAAAAGAGGGCAAATGCTCCGAGTACATTCCCACATATTTCCGGACAGAGTGATGGAGATGAGCGAGATCCACGTGTTGATGGTCTCCTGGGAGATGTTGGTGAGTTTGTTGGAATCCAGGTTCAGCTTCTGCAGGTTGGGGAGGCACTGGAAGGTCCCAGGCTCTACCCCCGCGATGTCATTTCCCGATAAATCCAAGTTGTGCAAGGAACTCCAAGTCCATGTCAACCCCTGGCTGATGGAGCGGATCCTATTCCACTGCAAGTAAATGGAGCGCAGGTTGAAGAGGCGTGGGAAGTGGGCAAAATTGATCTTAGAAAACTGGTTGTGCTCCAAGTGGAGCTCCGTCAGCTTCAGCAGGCCGGCGAAGGCGTTCCGGGACAAGCTCCGCAGGCGGTTGTAGCCCAAATCCAGGAAGTCGAGGTTCCGGCAGTCCTGGAACACCCGGATGGGCACCGTCTTCAGCGAGTTGGACCTCAGGTGCAGGATCAGGAGCTTCCGCAGGCCCTTGAACTGCTCGGCCTGCAGCACCTGCAGCTTGTTGTAAGACAGGTCCAGGTTGCGCAGGTTGGGCACGGGGTGGAAGGTCTTGTTGTGCAGGAGGGTGATTTTGTTGGAGCTCAGGATTAATTCCTTCAGCCGGCGGATCCCCTGGAACGCGTCCTCGTCCACGGAGCTGATGTAATTATGGTCAAGATAAAGCCATATGAGCTGATTGAGGCCCGCAAACTGATGGGATTTGAGCTTCTGGATGCTGTTGTAGCGCAGGGATAAGCCCTGGGAGCCCCCGGAGATGTTGTGGGGGATGTCTCGGAAGGCGTGGGACTCGCAGTACACGATCTTGCCGTCGCATCGGCAGTTCTTGGGGCAGGCTCGCTGAGCCCCCGCGAGCACGGCGAGCAGCACCAGGGGAAGCAGCAGCACCAGGAGCGCGCTCGTGCCTCTCAGCTGCTTAATTAAATGGAAACCTGCAATATTAAAGAGAAAAACAAACGGGCGTTGGGAGCCTATTAAGATAAATTGCCGGCAGATTACTCATGTCACCCCGGGGCTTTGGATGAAGCCTGAGTGGAGCGGGGTGGGGGGGGGGGTGGGATTTGGGAAACAACCTGTTTGCCTCCTGTCTGGGGCTTTTGTGGTGCAAATTCCCGTCCTTTGAGGTCGTGCCTCGCCATCTCTCACCAGCGCTACTCCTTTTGTGTGACTTAGGATCCCTCAGAACCGCCAAAATCCTGTTCCCTCCTGGCTTTGCCCCTGTCCACCAGCTCCCAGTGGAGCTGGGATGTCCTTATAACCAAACGCCGAGGTTTTAACAATAAACATATTTGTCAAGTCACTGTGCTGAACGTTCCACAGAGCTGGAGAGGAAATGAGCCAAAGCTCCTGCTATTACGTGCTGCTAAACGTGTTCCTCAAGAAAAGCAAGTGCAAGTCCAAATCCTCCTAAAAAAATTACTGCAGAAAACGAGAAATCTACTCATCATAAAGTTTGATCCATATCGTGTATTTATTGTAAAATGAGACATTAATAAAGGCTTTACTTTTTGCACCGAGTGATTTGGTTTTAACAGGAGGTTTAAGTGGGTTTACTCACGATTTTTATTGACCTAAAACACACAAACAGATGCAGCAAAAGAAACTTCAGCCACATAGAGAGGTATCTCAGGTAATGCTGGCATGGGACCCCAACACCAAGAGAATGGTAGGAGACATATTTCTTTCACATGAATCACTGCCTTAGCACATATTCATTTAAAGTTCTCCATATGGAGCTGGGAATGCCTAAGCATTTATCCATTTATATGTATATACATTGGATACTGGATGAAAACATCCACACCAACACTCACATCCAGCAGCAAACCCCAGAAAGTTTAAAGGGGGATATTTCTTATTTCAACTTCCCCCTCTCTCTCTCCCCCAGCTCTGATGATTTGAAGGGTTTGCCTTTGAGGTGTCAGGTTTGTCATGCAGGAACAATGCTGGATGTGAGGACATATATAATAATTCAATATATATAATTTCAAATAATTATGAGCGAGGGTGTGGGGGGTGTCAGAAACCCCAACATACACCCACATGCCTGGAATAATTTTAGGGCTGCTGCCTCTGCCCAGAGTTGCATCTTTGCTAAGGATGAAAACGCATTTTCCAACAGGAAATGTTTCAAGGGCTGGTATCTCCTTGATAAATAATCACTTTATTATTTGTCACACGCACAAAACCAACCCCGTGCTGCAGTTCTTTGATCCAGTTTTAAACCAAGGGGCAATCTGCAAAAAAATTCCTAATCTAAAATGCCCCTGCCTGTGTGTCCCTGCCTTCAGTGGTTAGATTTTTAATTTAAATCGTGTTATTTGCTCCTGCCTGTGTGCCAGCAGCAGCCAGCTAGAAATATGTTCTGCCTGTTACAGACTTGGGGGCTGGGGAGGGAAGGAAGGAGGGGAACAAACCTGTCACACTTGAAAAAAATCAGACTGGCAAATGACTGCTGGAAATGTAGCAGAGGTACCAGGGGCATCTTTTCAGAGCCCAAACAAGCCTTTTCAAAAACACCTAGACAAGAAACCCCCCTCCCTCCTCCCCTCTGCTTCCCACATCCCGCAAAGTGTTAACAGCCCCTCCTGACAGCCCGAAGGATGCCGCTCCAGGCTCAGGGGCTGGGGATGTGCGGGCAGGAGGAATGTGGGGAGAGGAGAGGTGCCTCCTGCATCCATGCACTGCTCTGTGCCTGGCAGGTGCGGGGGCGGGCGGCACAGGGAATTCGCTCTGTCCAGCCCTTCGCTCGGGGCATCAATTCACAGGTTAACGACGTGGAAAACCTCTGCAGGAGGAAAGGGGTGTGTGTGTTTGTGTGTGTGTGTGTGTGTGTGTGTGTGTGGAGGGGGGGGATACACGATCTAAAAATACAATAGCAAGTGCAGTGAGTCACCTGGCACAGGAATCCACTGCTGCTGTTCAGCCTGTGCCCCCCTCTCCAACGGCAAATAATCCCGCTGAAAAATATCCCCCCAGTGCAGCTGTGCCAGCAAACAAACAGGAAAAGTTCACTTACCCATCCTTTTGTCATCAATAACGTCCTCTTTTTCCTTCCTCCAGCTGTTTTCTTCTCTCTCTCCCTTTTTTTCGCTTCCCCTTCGCCTCTCTCTCTCTCTCTCTTTTTCAAACTGGTTTCTTTTCTTTAAACCATCAGAATCTTCATGGCACAGCCCGGCTGCCACTCACATCACCAGCATCCAGCGTGCATGCCACAAACCCCCCACAAAGTTCCCTAGAGAGGACAAGCGAGAATTTTGGGGATGAGGAAGGGAAAGGATAGGGAAGGGGTTGGGGGTGGGGAAGACAGGACGAAGGCTGGGGGGAGTGTGGGGGGGTAGGGAGGGACTCTAAGCTCTGAGAGCCATTGTGTAAGTCATCAGAGAGCCGGCGTTAAGTGGCAATCTGCAAGGAGAAGCCGGAGCAGACGAGGAAGGCAAAGCAACTTCTCTGGGAGGAATGACAAAACCTTTGCCGGTACCTCGAATGCCTCATTCTGCTGCCTTTTGCCATTCCCAGACACGGCCATCCATCCTCCAGCTTCCCGGCCCCCGGAGCCCGCGGGCCTCCCGCGCCGTGCCAGAGCCCGCTTTAAAAGCTATGCAGGCTCGCTTTATCCATTCGGCTGGGCAGGTCGAAAGTGTTTTGTAGCTGTGCTGAGAGGCAGCTCTTGTCTAATTCCGAAGGCTTTCCAGAGAGCGATGATGCTCCGGAGCTTGTTGGTGCTGATGTTCTAGTTTGTGATACACTGAGTGCCCTCCACTGGAGAAAACAGATCGCACATTAAAGGCTGAACAAGTGAGCCTGTCATGGCTCTGCAGACTTTCTTCCCTCAGAAAAGAAAATTAAAGACACAGTATTGCCTTGCCCACCAGCATCCCTTTTCCAGACCCCTCCGCCTTCCCTGGGTTACCAAATGTTGAGAGTGTGGATTTTCTGGCAGAAACACTGAACAAACACCTGCTCCCTGGGGATTTGCCAACCTGAGCTTTTTCTGATCCACCTGACCTGTATATTTTGCTGGGGCAAATTCTAAATTGGGGTGGGTTTTCTTGTTTGTTTTGTTGGGTGGTTTTTGGTGTGTGTTTGGGGTTTTTTTCTGTATTCCCAGGGGGTGAACAGGAAAAAGGATGTTGGCAGACAAAAATTGAGAGTCATGGTAAAGGGTGGAGGGGCAGGAGCTGTGATCAGACTGATCAGCCACACAAGAGGCATTTAACTGCAGGTGGCAGCTCCCAGTGTCAACACTCCGTGTCCTGCTTTGGCTGGGAGAGAGTTAATTCCTTTTTTTCCTTTTAGTCAGAAAAATACTGAGTTTTATAAACAAGGCAGAACTGAAGCTGTGGAATTAGTGACACCTTTGAGCTCCTGAGCTCCTCTCCCCCGGCTCTGCCGGAGCCGGAGCGGAGCCTCCTCCCAGCCAGGGCTGGATTCCACCAGACTGGATGGATCCAGGGGGTGATCCAGGCTGTGACAGCTCCAGAGGGTGTCAATGTGTGGCTGGTTTAGCAGGGCTGGGGTAGTGCTCTCCCAGTTGCACAGAAGGATGGCACAGGGATGTGGAGCAGGAGCAGCAGGAGCTCCTGGGCTGGTCCTGGTGAGCCCCGTTCTCCAGGACCTGCAGGGAATTCAACTCCCAGGGCAGCCCCACACATCCCACAGGAACCATTCCTGGTCCTCAGGATGCTCAGAGGGCAGCACTGGGTGCTACTGGTCACAGCTTTAACCTGGGTTCCTAAAACTTCAGATACTTGGGCTGCTTCCCCCCCTCCCTGTGCTACAGAGAGCAGCTCTTTTGGAAACAACTCCCTGCCCAAACCTTGACTTCAGGTGCCAAAATAATGGCAATGCTTTATAGAGTCTGTCATGAGCCAGCCATTATGTGTTAATTAATTTTTAAATATTTTAAGATATTTCCCATTATGGCCAAAGGGCCCCCGCTCAGCATCTCACAGCCCAGATCTCCTGGGGTTTCTTTGCCACTCAAAAATGAGAATTGCACAAAACTCCAGGTCAGATTCCAGCTCTTCTGTCGTAGTTCCTCATTCCTGGGTCAGGTAAGACCACTGCTTGCCCCTGCAACCCATCCCAAAGGAAGTGAGCCCTGCCCAGCCCCAGGACACAGCTCCTCTGCAGGGTGTCCATCAGACTGGGACACACAATGGGCAAAGAGTTCAACTCCATTAAAACAAAATACAGAATAAAACACCCAAAACAATCCATAGAAAGCAACATCTCCTCCCCTACATTTGCATCCAGACTCCATCTGCATCCACACT